TCACATACAGACCACTATGGAAGCGTAACAATCGGATTAATGGGTCATCTACGGACCCAAAAAATAAATCAAATATGGGAAAACAAACCTCCAATCAAAACAAGTGCTAAACCGTATTCAAGAAAGTAAAGGGAAAGAAACTTGGGGCAACAGAAGATGGACAACCCTCAAATACTCATCCACAAGAGCCAAAATACACAAAAAAAGGTTAGGACAACCTTCACAAGGGTCAACTAGGCCAAAAAAACCTTCGGTTGAATCCGAGACAGCTCTATGGGACCTTGGCTGGTTCTAACCGAGACTCAGGGACCAACGGTGGAAGATGGGTGGTGATAGGTGATGGCTAGTTAGTGGCAGCGATTGTGTAGGTGACGATTTTTAGGGTTTTGGCTCTGATACTATGTAATTTAAGAGAATACAAAGCTTGGGTGATGATTATGATATCATCACCTTTTATATTAATCAATCAACTGTTACAAAAGGAAGCCCTAAGACACTGATTAAGGAATCACCCTTTATATTGATTGATTGATTGACTGATTAAGGAATCACAATCAATCAAGTCAATCAATCAATCACAATCTAATATAAATAAGAAAACAAGGAAATATTCTAACAGCACGAAGCTCTTATCTCTTGTTGTTTTATTTTGACAAGCCAAGGGCTATGTTTGTATGGGTTAGAAAGCCATTTGTCTGTAACTGGGTTTAAGCCTTGGAACGTGTAGCCCGTAGGGGCATTATTTTGTATTTTAATGTCTGTTGAATCCTTGTTACATATTGTAAATTATTGTCTTAGAAGCTTTGAAGGTATAAAGGCATGTGGAACCTTTACATCTCTAAAATAAGGATCTTGAATATGCTTATATGATTTTTAAATTGTAAAGGATTTATAATTAATGAGGATTGAGGATTATTGAGGTGTTTATCAGAGTTATTAGATGTTAATAATTTGGGGGCATTACAACTTAGTATCAGAGCTACCGGGTTTGAATACTTGGGGCACGTGGTAAGTGGTTTTTACCACAATGGGTTTATTTCGCTAATTAAGGAATGTTCCATGTTATATGTGCTATGTGATAACATGCTTATGTGACTAGATAGATATGTGATTGAACTTTTAGCATGTTATTGGTGTCTATTAAATCCCTTGAAGTTTTATTAGAATGATACCTGATCAATGTTCATTCTAATAGGAATTCTTGGAGTTTCATGGAACCAATTCTATCTTGAGAGTATAATTTGTATGTGTTTATATGACTAAGTGCTTATGTGGAGTGACTTTTTGTATTATCTATGTTGTGGAGCGAATGAGATTTAGTTTGGGGTACCATTGGATGTGTGCTAATTTGTTGTGTTTATTCTTGATTAGGATGTCTAGGCAAAGAAGTGATGATTTTCCTCCTTCTACAGGGGAAGAATTGAAAAAACAATTTGTGGAGTTGCACTAAGGTACTATACCTTTGGCATAGTTTGAGGCGTGGTTTATTAACCTGTCAAGGTTTGCTCCGAAGTTGGTTAGAACTAAGGAGCTTCGTTGCTTAGAGTTTGAGGGAAGATCATGTGATGATATCCAAGGAAGGATTGTCAGGCCTTAGCATAGAAGTTATCATGTGTTTGTTGAGGCGGTGGCTCATGTGGAGGCCGCAATCTTAGTCATGGGACAGAGTGAGGAGGAAGCCACTTTGGCGACTCCTGTAGCTCAGGGTCGTGGTAGACCTTTTAAGAATCATAGGAGGAGGGTAAGGTTGAGGGCTCAACCAATAATTGCACCACTTTGGGGTATCTGGGGGCTCACAGAGGGAGCAGTCCTTAGAACCTTTACCTACTCAGATTTCAAATCAGTCACATACTAGGGAACCGCCTACTTGCTCCTGGTGTGGTCAAACAGGCCATATTAGATGTCGTTGCCTCCAAGGTAGAACTTCCTTGGATGTGTCGGAGTCTAGTTAAACCAAACCTTATCCGTTCGGGCAGGGACAATACCCATACCTGAACCAAGCAGGCCAGATTTTGAGGGCCTCTAAAGAGTCAAAATTTCACCCATCGAGTAAGAAGCTATATGTTTGTTTTAGGTGTGGCCAGCTAGGACACATCAGTAGTTTTTTCCCTTGGTGTGTTAGCCCTGAGGGTATCTCGAGGTTCGAGAATAACCAGTCTTAACAGTCCAGTATGGGACGGTAATTGTGATATTGACTGGTGGGGTAGTTTTGTTTTGGTCATTTTGTTTTTGTTTTTTTTTTTTTTTAACCGGTGGGTTATAATTTTGTAATTGTTATGTAGTTGTTTGTCGGCCATTTAAATTCATCACTCTTGAAGTCTTTCTTGAAATTGCGTCTCCATTTTCATTTATGGAGTTGAGTTTCTTATTTCGGTGGCGTAATCGAAGTCGGAGTTGGTAGCAACTTCTTGATCTTGCAAAATCTAGTGCTAGAGCAAAACCGCACATGCAGGGGCTAGAACTACACATGCGGGAGAGTGAGCCGCACGTGCGGTGAGGGGGAGTTTCTGATGGTTGAAGACTGGAATAACCACACGTGCAAGGTTGGGTGTCGCACATGTGAAAGGGCACGCTTCGCACGTGTAGCAAAGGCGCGCAGGTGGGGAAAGGCTGAGTCTGAATTTTCTTTCTTTTTCTTCTCCTTGGGTTGAGTGTATCTCATTTCCTCTCATCCCTCTCTCTCTCTCTCTCTCTAAAAGCATATTTTCCTCTCCCCTCTCTCTACAAAAACCTATCCACCACCATAAATCCTTGATTTCTCTAAATCCTTTGAAATTTTGACCCAAGTTCCTTCATCAAAGTTGGAGAGCTCACCAAGGGCTACATTTTGTGCGGTGGAGATCAGGTTTCGACACCGTCGATTTTTTTTTTTTTTTTGAGGGGGGGTTTCTCATTTTCCTTCTCTACATCTTGAGGTAAGGATTTTTCTTAGAGTTATATATATATTTTTGCAAGTTTATGGTTATTTTGATGTTGTTTGGAGTGTGTTGAGTTAGGGTTTGATTTTTATGGGGTTGTGTTTTTGCGTAAAGAGGGGCTTTCTCAAATTTTTTTTTTTCAAATCTTTTAATTTATGAACTATGAGAGTGTTTTGAAAGTTCATGAGCAAAAACCTTTTTTTACAAATGAGGAAATCATAATTTTGTGAAAACCCTAGGCTAGAGGAAGTCGAGGAAAAAGTTGTATCAGTGTAAAATATGAGTTGTGTGATAGTTGGGGTTTTTAATTGCTTACAATTTTTCAAAAAGAGAAACTTTTTTTTTTTCTTTTGTGAAAACCTAGATTTTGGAAATTTGGAAAAAAAATTGAGATTTTGTGGAATTATGAATTGTCAAGATCCATTTTTTTAGAAATGATGAGGAAATTGTTATATTTGTCCCTTTTGTTGAAATCCCTTGTAAGAGAGAAATTGATATTGAGAAAATAGTGAATGGTAGGTTGTTATACTTAGGGAGATTTGGTCAAAACCCTCTCATAAGAAAATTTTAATGCATTAAAGGCAAGCACAAAAAATTTTCATTGAAAAGTCCAAAACATACCACTATTACAAAAATATTAAATTTTAAAATAATATAATTTTTGATCTAGATGTCGGTTTTTAATAAAATTAGTATTTTTAGAATTCTCTCATCAAGATCTATTAACTAAATTGGGGGTAAATAATACCGTCTTTTTTCATATTGTTTTGAATTGGGAAATTTGGCCAAAATACTCTCATAATAATAGTTTAGTACATTAAAAATAAGTATATAAAAAAAAATCTTGAAAAGTCCAACTCATACTACTATTACAAAAATATTAAATTTTAAAATAATATAATTTTTGATCTAGATGTCGATTTTTAATAAAATTAGTATTTTTAGAGTTCTCTCATCAAGATCTATCAAATAAGATCAATGTTGACTATGAAAAAAAAAATTTATTTCCTTCGAAATTGATGTAAATAGTAATATGTTACTTTGTCTTACAATAACATGTTACTTTGGCAATATTGTCTAAGAAAAAAAGTATATTTTACTTTGTCCTTAATCAATAATGCGCTTCCTCTTAGGGGATTTATGAAGCAAAATAAATTGAGCCGTCTTTTTCACCAAAAAATGATCTAATTGAGGGGTTTTGGCTAAATTTTCCTTATGAGAGGGAAATTTGTCTAAGTCGTATTTTCCACCCCTTGTTGATATATGAAAATCATTGGATTGATTATACTATCGAATGAGCATTGTGTATGAGATTTTTTAAAAGAGAAAAACTATTTTGAGCATAACATGACATGTGCATCCATCTCATGATACTGTATAAAATATATATATATATATATTGTTAACAGTTCTCTACTGTGCTTTGTGCTCACCCCTAATGGATTTGTTGCAAGAAAAGCTGTTGTGATACTGCCAAAGTAGAGGTGTGGAGAATTGTTTTGGGAGCACGAAACTCTTATCTCTTCTTGTTTTATTTTGATAAGGCAAGAGCTGTGTTTGTATGGGTTAGAAACCATTTGTCTATAACCAGGTTTAAGTCTCAAAACATGTAGCCCATAAGAGCATTGTTTTGTGTTTTAATTTCTGTTGAATCCTCATTACGTGTTTTAAATTATTGTCTTAGAAGCTTTGAAGGTATAAAGGCATGTGGAACCTTTACATCTCTAAAATAAAGATCTTGAATATGGATATATGATTATTAAATTATAAATGATTCATAATTATAAGGATTGAGGATTACATAGAAGCCAATCAATTATATCCTAGTTTCAAAATGACTAGGGTTTACACTACACAAAAAAGCACTCATCTTCAAGTGGTCTACGAATGATCCCATTTTATCCCCGGCCATGGATTCTCATATCAATGGTTTATAATACACTTTCACATTTCAAGAGGAAAAAAAAAAAAAAAACAATGGTACAAATTAGCATCAAGCCAACGAACCAAGCAACCCAATTCCACAAGGGACTGACATGCACAAAAAAATATTAAACATAAAAAATAAAATTTAAATTTCAAAAAAAAAAAAAAACCTTCATTATCGTTTCAGATAAATTAAAGGTTTCTAGTTCAGTTGTGCCACATAATTCAGTATTTCATATCTTCAAGATGAAGATTGCAATGAACATTAAAAAAAAGAGAAGAAAATTAACACTAACATAACTAGCGTCATGACATGTCAATAAAGATCTACTTATTGTGATGCCAACTACGAATTGGGAATTGACAGGAAACCATATAGTTTTCTTGTTTAATGGATAAAGAGAAAAATAAAAATAAATAAACCCACAAAACACAGCAAGTGAGCAGATAATTAAGCAAGAACCTAGTAACCAACGTAAACAGCTGCATTCACTATGTAACAATCATCATTCTTATCTCCCATTTCTTCCACAAGCACACCACTTGAGCATATCAGTCCACCATCCACAACTTCAAAATTCACAATTTTCCCACTGCCATTAAGAAGAGAAAAAAACTTAGGTGTTTAACTCCCCGCAGAAGCTAATCTTATAACTGACAACTTAACTTTTGCCGATCGAAAAAATAAAATAAAATAAAATAATTAAGAAGAGAACAAAAATAGGACCAAAAAAAAAAAAGACACAAGCTATGCTATACAAATCCCTTTGTAAGATCATAGCTGTGAATGGCAATGTGAGCAGAATGATTTTCCAAAGTTAAATCCAAAGATTAGCCAAAAATTTCTCTAGTTTCTTAGACACATCTAGCATATACATAGTACATCACTTATATAATGACGGAAAGGCTAAAGATGATGGAAAATATGATTTATATATAGCAAAAAATGAGTCTGACTTCAGATTCTTATATATAAGATTATAGAATGGTGTTTTCTTGAAAAGATGTACTGGCATAAAGAAACCAAACATGATGTCTTATTTAAATTGAGGATTAAATGCATGGGCACCGCTTCAACTATCACTGAAATATCACTTTACTCACCACTTTAAATTGTACATTTAGACCCATCAACTATAAGAAAAGGAACGTACAAATGCCCCTTTCTAGAAGGGTGAAAGTGATGCAATACGGTTATGAAGTTGAGGAGAGTAAGATTATATTCAGTGATAGTTGAGGGGGTATATGTGTAATTAACCCCTAAAGTAAAGCAATCAAGGAGCCCAGAATTGTAGCTGACACGTCCAAGTGTACAGATACTTACTATGGAAAGACAGACTTGACCTTGTCAACATCTAGGGATTGTTGGAGGGATCGAGGAACTCCCAGCTTAATTTGTAGTTTCATCTGCTCAAATGTAACACCAGGTATAGACCCTGCACGAATTAAACCTTATTACTTTTAATCAACACTTCAATATCAACGGCAAAAACATAACCGACAACCTTCAAAAAGATTATGCTAAAACGTGCGTCTGCACTACCTCACGCAAACACAATGATAAATAAGTTCAAGATTCGACATAGTCGAAAAGATTAAAAATTAGAAAGTATCATGTGGATGCTAAACAAGATGAGAATCCATTCCACTAGGACCTCCATAGATTTTTGTTATTTACAATAATTTGTGCTGTTACACAAATGTAAAAGATTATGTTGGAATTTGTAATGTTCTTATGATGACAAGGATGATAGCAGGTCCCTAGTTACTTCTGGACTACTTTCAAATATTGCCATCATTTGATTTTGGTTATGGATTCTTAAAGAAGGTTTAGAGTTAAGAACTCACCAAAAAAACATATTAAATGAAAAGGAAGGTTTATGTATGAAAAACAAGTCTAAGGCAGGGCAAATTTTTCAAAGAAATTATTTTCAGTGGCAAGAAGCAAGTTGCATAATTAGACTAAGCCTGTCAAATTTGAATTTCAAACTCCTCTATATGTCCGTGGAAATAATTGGTGGATGTATAAGGAAGTCCAAAACCAACTGAAGCCTCTTCTTTTATATTTGAATGAAGTATAGGTGGTTCACCAAACTTCTGAATCTTTTGACTCTTGATGAAGCCTCTTCTTTTATATTTGAATAAAGTATGGGTGGTTCAAAAAACTTCTGAATCTTTTGACTCTTGATCAAGCCTCTTCTTAGTTATTTGAATAAAGTATAGGTGGTTGTGGGAGCCGAATTATATCAGATCCATGGAGACGGATAAGCGTGTCTGGTCCGAAACGTAACCCCTATTCGGCACATACCCCAATCAATCAAAGAGCCGAATAGAATAACCAATACCTCAGCCAGTAGAACAGATGCCGAGTAGAGGTACATGTAACGGAACAAGGATGGGCCCAGCCCAAAGGCCCAAAGAGAATACTATAAATCTAAAATTTTCAGTTCTAGAAAGGTATGTGAGAACCAATATATTTAACTTAGAATACAAGTAATCTTGAGGGTGGAGACTGACTTGTCCGTCGGAATGCTAATTCCGGCACCCCCGACCAGAGTGTTTATCCCTTTTTAGGTGGCTAGAAGTGGATCACAAGCGTCTCCCAGGATCTGAAGAGTATTTCCAAACTACTTCTCCATAATTGGCGCCATCTGTGGGAATACTCAAATACATCTATGGCGGGCGTAACGGAGGACCCTCCAATAGTCACTGATGAAACCACGCAAAGAGACGACCTCACTCCAACAAACATGCTTGGACCGGAGACTATCGCCGCAAGACATGCCTTGAACTTCGCCTCACCCTCGACTTCGGAGCACGAGACAATGCAGGCGATCATGGAACAAGCGAAGCTAAATGAACAGAGGTTGGAGAACATGATCACTGAGAACGAACGACTTCGTGAAGATCTGGCCTTGGAAATGGCGAAGTCCAAACAGGTTGTACGCCTAAATCTGGAACGATCTCTGAAGGCAGGTGGTCAACGACCTCGAGACCGACAAGACGACACAAATAGCGACTCCGATTCGTTATCCCCGGAGCCCAGGAAGAAGCGGCGACCTGAGCCCACCAGTTCTTCTGAAGAAAGTCCCCGTATAAGGCACAAGCGAAGAAGGAACAACTCGGACGAAGATCAACACGATCGCTTCATACGACGGATTGCAAAGGCAGTGCTACCCAAGAAATTCAAAGCACCGTCATTCACCTTGTACGACGGCAAATCAAACCCCACCGACCACATCCGCCACTACAAGCAAGCCATGACATTGCATGCAGACGACGAGGCCCTCATGTGCCGAATATTTTCCAACAGTTTGGGACCATTGGCTGTCAGGTGGTATTATAAACTGGAGCCGGCTTCGATCAAAACCTTCCACCAACTACAGAAATCCTTCAAGGCCAGATTCATCACCAACGAGGTCCAGCCGAAACAAGCCGACTCTTTCTGGGCAATGCAAATCCTGCCAGGAGAAACACTAAGAGCATATTCGACGCGTTATTGGGAATGCTTTAATCTTGTTGACGACGCTTGCAACGACTCCATGGCCATCACCGCCTTCAAAATGGGATTACATCCAAATAGTGCCCTCCGCAGTTCTTTGACTAGAAGACCCCCCAAAACGGTCTGGAGGTTGATGAAGAAAGTAGAGGAATACTGCAAAGTGGAAGATGACACCTTGCGGGTTAAAGCCGGACACATGGCCAACAAAACGGCCCCTCCTGAAATTGCTCAGCCAATAAGTTTCATACCACCTCAGAGCCCTGAACCACGACAGCGGGCTAAACGAGACAAGAGACGGGATTCTCGCCGATCAAGCGATCAATGCTCACACCAAGCAAATGAACAACTGCAAGTTGATAGTAGGTGCACAAAGCGCGCCAACAAGAAATATACGGAGCTGTTAGAGCCAATCAGCTCGGTTATGTCCAAAATCCAACATCTTTCGTTCTTCAAATGGCCGTCCAAAATGGTGGGACCTCCTGACACGAGAAGGCGGGACAGGCGATGTGAATATCACAAAGATCACGGTCATGATACGGACAGTTGCTATGCTTTGAAAAACCACCTTGAGGAATTGGTGCAAGATGGTCGGCTCCAACAACATGTCTGAAAGAGTGCAATCAAAACAGTCGCCCTTCGGCAGGATTCACCTTCGCTCGGCGTCATTCATATGATATACAACCTTCCAACGCCTCTTACCGTACACGCCATTCAGTCAGCCCCCCAGAAGCAACGCACACCAACAAACCGGCCCCACGAAGCTCCGAGTATTATCTTCGACGATTCTGATCTTATTGGCATAACGTTCCCCCACATTGATCCATTAGTTATTGAACTACACGTAAACCGATTTACCGTTGAACGCATCCTCATAGACCAGGGGAGCAATTCAGAGGTCATGTATTACGACACCATCAAACTCGGCTTCAACGAATCAAACCTGTCTCCGGCTCCTTGTCCATTATTCGGCATCACCGCAAATCCAGAGTACCCGTTGGGAAAAATCACACTACCCGTTCGAGTGGGCTCCCAAATCGTGGATGTGGAATTCTTGGTCGTCAAGCTCCCTTCGCCGTACAATCTCATCATGGGGCGAACTTGGTTGCACACCATTCAGGCCGTGCCAAGCACTTATTATCAGCTGCTACGCTTCCCAACCGAACACGGCATTGAGCAAATCCGTGGTTCCGAGCAATCTGCACAAGCATGTTATCTCCTTTCTGGAAAGACACCAACGGAGTCGCAGGTCAACTCTACTGAAGCGCCAAATCGAAACAGCCCCGACGATGTCAGACGGCTCCGTAGCGAAAAGCCATGGAAGCCCTAGGCGATACCAGCAAAAGCTTGCCAAGTCGTATAATCAGCGCGTTCAGTTGCGCCGCTACACACCGGGAGAGTTGATCCTGAAGGTACTTCCGGATGACAAGAAACCTGTTGATGAAAAATTGGATCCTAACTGAGACGGCCATTATCGGATAGATCCCAGTTCTAAATGATTCGCCATGTACACGTTCCACTTTTGTAATGCAAGGATCCTTGTTGAAAAAGTTGTAATCTCATCCACTGCGAAATCTAGTTAAAAAGTGCTCCGATGAAAAAGCCTCCGGATTCGGAGCGCCCTTCGTGGATATCACGATTGGCCAAAAAGCCTCCAAATTCGGAGCCTCCTCGGCGCATGACGCCTTTGGGCCAAAAAAGCTTCCAGATTCGGAGCGCCCTTCGTAGATATCACAATTGGCCAAAAAGCCTCCGGATTCGAAGCGCCCTTCGTGGATATCACAATCAGCCAAAAAGCCTCCGGATTCGGAGCGCCCTTCGTGGATATCACGATTGGCCAAAAAGCCTAAGGATTCGGAGCCCCCTCGGCGCATGACGCCTTTGGGCCGAAAAAGCCTCCGGATTCGGAGTGCCCCTCGTGGATATCACGATTGGCCAAAAAGCCTTCGAATTCGGAGCCCCCTCGGCGCATGACGCCTTTGGGCCGAAAAAGCCTCCGGATTCACAGCGCCCTTCGTGGATATCACGATGGGACAAAAAGCCTCCGGATTCGGAGCACCATCGGCACATGACAAAAAGCCTCCCGATTAAGCCTCCGAATTCAGCAGACCAAATGGTGTCCCATCGGGCGACACTCAAGGGCCGAGTAATATCCCAAATTCGAAGCGCGTACCAGAATGAAAAAACATTTACACATCAAAGCAGGGATACGTAAGTTGAGCCGGCACAACCGCATGAACAAAACAAAACGTGCCAACATTCGAAATAAGATGCTTAATTAAGCACATAAAAATTTAGAATGAGATGTAAACTTTTAAAATCAAACATTTTATTCAATTAAACAGTAATTACAAAAACGTAATCCGCGTTCGAGCATTACAGTATCTATTTTCGTACGGCGTCGCCTTCGTCCTCCCCCTTCTCTTCGAAGGCGAAAAAGAGAAAATGGTCGCGTTGGTACAGCGGCGGCGCCGAATCAATGCCCGCTGCTCGGAGAACATCCGCAGCTTGAAATGCTTTGATCTGACCGCGCTTGAATCTACGATGTTCACACCGGCGAAACAATCACCCTTGAGGTGGAGAGCTTTGACACCATAGACAACGTCAAAGCCAAGATCCAAGACAAGAAAGAAATTCCCCACGAAAACAGTAAAACTCAACAATCGCGGCGCTACGTCGACCTCGGTTCTGGGTCGCGGGTGTGGAGAGCTTCCCCGTAACTGTTTCTCCCTTCGGAGTGATCTGCTTCGACGACTTGCAGGGTGGCGTTTTTTCCGTTGTTTGAACGCTCTACCTCTTGCATAGGTGGTTTCTCCGCTGCGATTCATTGCAATATCGAGCTCAGCCAAAGTTCGAGCTTCTCCTCTGCTGTTGAAGAAAACTCCATTTGACATTCATACTTATCTAACCCCACGCAACAAAATTGTTTAAATCAAC